GAACACAATCACTCAATATATATAATGATATCAATGAATCTAAAGTGGACCCCGCCACCTACTTTCTTTACCTTATCTTTTTCTTTTTTTCTTCCCTACCTTCCCCTCATTTCGGCAATTGCTCTCTTTCTTTCATATCTCTTTTCAAACGCTATATATATATATATATATATCAACTATACATAATTTACAAATCTCCAAATCCAAAACCCAATATTCCTAAATATCAATTTTTTACAAATAAAAATGATAGAAATAAATATAAATTAAAATCTTAAAAATTTTACATCCAAAGTGGGTAATCAGCATGCTGTGGTTGAGAAGCTTCTTTAGTGTCAGCCGCCCCATGTGTAGCGAGATATATACTTGATCAGCAAGCATAAGATTTGTCATTTGTATGTGTGTTATTTTATTTTTTTTGTCATTTAATTTTTCTCTTATTCTTATAAATTCTTATTTGATCCTTTGTTTCAGAACACCTATTTATATGCCTGTTATTGGTCTTAATTCACAGCACTACTCTCTAGTCTTAGCAAGAACTCTTCCATGGATGACCAAAATGGTCTCAAAGAAGCCCAAGTTGTTGTAGTAATGGTCCCTCTTCCATTACAAAGCCATCTCAACCAGCTACTCCAACTCTCCCGACTCATCTCCTCCTACAACATACCGGTCCACTATGTCTGCACCACCACCCACATCCGCCAAGCCAAGCTTCGCGTCCATGGTTGGAACCCTCTGGACAACGCCAACATCCATTTCCATGAGTTGTCAACCCCTGCTTTTATCTGTCCTCCTCCCAACCCCAATGCCTCCATTCAATATCCCTCCCATCTCCATCCATTATTTGAAGCCATAACACAGTTTCGCCAACCCATTGCCGCCATTTTTCACGCGCTCTCCTCCACTGCAAAACGAGTTATCATCATTCATGACTCCATGATGGCTTCTGTTGTTCAGGATATCACATGTATCCCAAACGCTGAGTCCTACATGTTCCATAGTCTCTCGGCTTTCTCTACTTTCTTATACTTCTGGGAAAAAATGGGAAAACCCTTCCCAGTTGATGCCAAAATACTCCAAGACCTTCCCTCCCAGGAAGGCTGTGTAACTCCAGAGATCGCGGAATTTGTTCACACCCAGGTTAATTACTGGAACTTCAGCTCTGGTTATTTATACAACTCATGCAAGGCAATAGAAGGAGAAGGGGTATTTATTGATTTACTTGCAAGAGAAGAGATTACCCAAAACATGAAGCAATGGGCTTTTGGACCATTCAATCCGGTGGAAGTATGTGATGAAAAGAAGCCAAGTGATCAACGCCACAAATGCTTGGAATGGCTGGACAAACAGGTCCCAAACTCGGTGATATTTGTGTCTTTTGGGACGTTAACTTCATTGAGTGATGAACAAATCAAAGAGCTCGCGATTGGACTGGAACGAAGCGAGCAGAAGTTTATTTGGGTATTGAGAGATGCGGATAAAGGAGACGTGCTTGTGGGAGAAACAAGAAGACCTCAACTGCCAAAAGGGTTTGAAGAAAGAGTGGAAGGAAAGGGAATGGTGGTGAGAGATTGGGCACCTCAATTGCAAATTCTAGGACACGAATCAACAGGAGGGTTCATGAGTCACTGTGGTTGGAATTCATGCTTGGAGAGCATCAGTATGGGGGTGCCAATTGCGGCATGGCCTATGCATTCAGACCAGCCGATGCAAACTATGCTCGTAACAAACATACTCAAGGTTGGCCTAGTGGTCAAGGATTGGGCACGCCGCCAGGAGTTGGTAAGCTCATCAACGGTTGAAACAGCTGTGAAAAGATTGATGGCATCGAAGGAAGGAGATGATATGAGGAAGAGAGTTGTGGAAATGAGTGGCGCTGTCAAGCGGTCGGTGGAGGAAGGCGGTGTGTCACGCATGGAGTTGGATTCTTTCATGGCTCATATCACCAGATCATAGCTAAGTTTGATAATTTGTCAGGGAAATCATGATTGCAAAACTTAGTTGACGAATGAAATAATTGTTGTACTAGTAGTTTCTAGTGGAGACACTAGCAAATTGTAGTAGTCTACAGCTTAAGTGTTCATCAAAGTTATTAAGTTCCATGTTTTTTTATCTTTTTATTCGGTAAATCTCTTTTTCTTCTTCGTGTTCCATCATGTTAATTTACAAGACAAACACAATATTTTAAATATATTACAACAATAAGGAACGGGAAAAAAAAAAACAAAACACAAAACAGCTTTTCAAAAAGCTGAAAGGAAAAAAACAAAAACACAAAACAGCCTTTCAAAAAGCTGAAGTTATATGCCCATGAACTTGATCTCCCAAAGTTGGGACAAATTTATTTACGTATCATTTATAAAAGATAAAGTTCGCATGACAACAAAAAATGGATATATATATATATATGTATGGAGACTAGATTCTTCAGGAATTGAGATTAGGGCAGCAATAGGATCATTTCGAAATATCAACATGCCTATTTGGTACCAAGTATAATTAGTACCATAATCTACCAGTATCAAACTGTTTTAAAGGTCCAGTGATCCAAAGTCCAGTTCTACCAAAAGAATAACTTACGAACTCACAAACATGAGAGGAATCGCCAAAAAAAATTACTAGCACATATGCGCATAAATTAATTCACAAACCACTTCGTAAGTATTTGGACACCCAAAATTTTTTTGAGTATAGAAGATTGAATACCTCCAAATTGGCGGTACTTCATCACCTGTATTATACATCTGTTCCAACACTTACCACAAAGTTTCCCATTTAAAACTTCCTTCCGTCCATGTATTATCCTGTGAACATGTCTTGTGTCTATTGAGATTGTTTTGATGATAGGTTGGCAGGTTGATGTTTAGTTAAATTAAATTGAGGATCGTTAACTAAATTTGTTACAGATTATTAATGTTGATAATTTGAAAATTTATTTACTGGGTCATAATTAAAAAATGACAATATTGGGTTGTTTGGGAAAAACACAATCCGTTGTACCAACCCGATCCAATCTGCGGATCAAATAGGTAACGATTAAGTTCTCACGAATCGGTTCAGTTTTACATTTCACCAATTCAATGGGACCGAAATAGATTACATTTGAATCCTAACATCTAGTTTATTCCTACATATCATACATTTTAAGTGAATGCCCTCCTATGTATGAGTTTTCAGATTCTCAAATTTGATTAGGTATTAAGGGAATCATGACAAGATACTTACATTAGGGCAGGAGAAGTGAAGGAATAACTCACTCACCTCTTTAAATGAAGTAGGACCGAAATAGATTAATATTATCTTTCACTATTTTCACATGTTAGTATTTTCCTAAACAAAATAAAAACCTATATGCTTTGATCTTCAAATTTTCAAGTAAGTTACCGTCAATCATCATTTTCTAGAGTCCGGATCTTATACAGTATTCAATTCACTCACCATTTTCCAACCTTTCTTCATCAAAAAACTTGAACACTAGAATGTGACGTGTCTAACACTTAGTGTTCCATCCATGGACTTGTCCTCCTTAGAAAAGTCTATGGACTCGCTAAAATAATACTAATAGGAAAGTCCGCAACTTCGCAGAAGCTCCCGAGCAAAGAGGTCTGTTTGAAGTTGCCCAACTTTTTCTTTTTTATTTCTATTTTGATGGACAATTAATACATCTAAAACTAGAATGCATCAAGACATATATAAAATAGAGACATAAATAGACTACTGCAATTTAATTATGAGGAATTCCTAAAGTTTACGGCTCTGGGCCGGCAGGTTGGACTTCTGCGTTGATTAGGAGACCTAGGGCCGCCAATTTGGATCACGATGAAGAAGAAAGGAAAAATTGGCGCGTTGACCAGTCATGTACGAGGAATCAATAGGTGTCGGGTGAACAGTGGTCGTTTGGTGTCGCTAAAGGTGGCAATTCATATATATGAGTTATAATCGTGTCGCGTCGACGTAAGAGTATTCTACTAAACAGGAAAACCCAAATCTGAACCATTTAATAATCGTGTCAAAAAATTTTGTAGTTAGATCCAGAACGAACCTTTGGATCTCGATCTAATACAACAATGCATCACGAATACTAATTACAATTATTTTACCCTAAACCCTAAACCCTAAACCCTAAACTAATCCGACCTGTTTATTAAACCATTTAATAACTTGTTTATTAAAACGAGATATTTAATATTCAATTAAATAATAAATACAAGAAAAAAATGGTTACAATTAACCCAAATATTCAAAATGAGAAATAAAATCATAAGGTTTAGTCAAGATTTATGTTAAAATGACTTAACTGTCCATTGTAATTGAATTTAAACAGGTAACATATTATGACATGTTAAGTTAAACGTGTATCGAGTTACACAAGTTGAAACACTCAACCCTAACCCGACACGATTAAGTAAACGGGTTAATCGTGTCAATCTATTTATAATCCGAACCTGTTTAAGGTCAACTTAAACCCGTTTATCTCGTTTCGTATTCGAGTCGTATTAGCGTGTCGTAATTTACCACTCCTACTTATAGCACCGCTCAAAAATAGAATGTTAGAGTAACAAATTAAACCCGATAATCAAGTAATATCAAACTTAATTTTAACTTATTTTTGAACACTTATTTTAAATTGATTGAACAACCTCACCAGGTGGATATCCAACCGGGACAGAAGCATTGTCCATCAAAAAAGCTAAAGTTATATGTAAGCACGTGCATGCACTTGATCTCCCAAAGTTAGGACAAATTTACTTTTACATATATATATATATATATATATATATATATATATATATATCTCGTTTATAAAGTTTACATGACAACGACACATGGGGATAAAGTTTCCATGACCACCCAAAAAAAACAAAAAACAAAAAACAGTGGTTACTTCTAAAACGTGATATTTGAATGAAGACTAGATTCTTCACGAATTTTGGAAATGTTGACATTTCTATACCATAATTTGCATCACCCTCCTCATATACCACTCAGGTCGTGGTCGTGTACTTGATTCTTTTTACTTAATATATTCTACAATATCCAACAGGATGAAGAAAAGCAATTCCTGGTAGTCCCTGCTTATATACCTGTTATTGGCCTTAATTCACAACACCACTCTCTAGTCTTAGCAAGCAAGAACTCTTCCATGGATGACCAAAATGGCCTAAAAGAAGCCCAAGTTGTTGTAGTAATGGTCCCTCTTCCAGCACAAGGCCATCTCAACCAGCTCCTTCAACTCTCCCGACTCATCTCCGCCTATGACATGCCGGTCCACTATGTCTGCACCACCACCCACATCCGCCAAGCCAAGCTTCGCGTCCATGGTTGGAACCCTCTCGACAACGCCAACATCCATTTCCATGAGTTGTCAACCCCTGCTTTTATCTCTCCTCCTCCCAACCCCAATGCCAACATTCAATTTCCCTCCCATCTCCAACCATTATTGGAAGCCTCAACACAGCTTCGCCAACCCACTGCCGCCATTTTTCGCGCGCTCTCCTCCACTGCAAAACGAGTTATCATCATTCATGACTCCCTGATGTCTTCTGTTGTTCAGGATGTCACTTGTATCCCAAACGCTGAGTCCTACATGTTCCATAGTGTCTCGGCTTTCTTTACTTTCTTCCACTTCTGGGAAATAATGGGAAAATCCTTCCCAGTTGATGCCAAAATACTCCAAGACCTTCCCTCCGAGGAAGGCTGTTACACTCCAGAGTTCGTGGAATTTATTCACACCCAGGTTAATTGCTGGAACTTCAGCTCTGGTTATTTATACAACTCATGCAAGGCAATAGAAGGAGAAAGGGTATTTATTGATTTACTTGCAAGAGAAGAGATTACCCAAAACATGAAGCAATGGGCTATTGGACCATTCAATCCGGTGGAAGTATGTGATGAAAAGAAGCCAAGTGATCAACGCCACAAATGCTTGGAATGGCTGGACAAACAGGTCCCAAACTCGGTGATATTTGTGTCTTTTGGGACGACAACTTCATTGAGTGATGAACAAATCAAAGAGCTCGCGATTGGACTGGAACGAAGCGAGCAGAAGTTTATTTGGGTATTGAGAGATGCGGATAAAGGAGATGTGTTTGTGGGAGAAACAAGAAGAGCTCAATTGCCAAAAGGGTTTGAAGAAAGAGTGGAAGGAAAGGGAATGGTGGTGAGAGATTGGGCACCTCAATTGCAAATTCTCGGACACGAATCAACAGGAGGGTTCATGAGTCACTGTGGTTGGAATTCATGCATGGAGAGCATCAGTATGGGGGTGCCAATTGCAGCATGGCCTATGCATTCAGACCAGCCGATGCACACTATGCTCGTAACAAAGTTACTCAAGGTTGGCTTAGTGGTCAAGGATTGGGCACATCGCAAGGAGTTGGTAAGCTCATCAACTATTGAAACAGCTGTGAAAAGATTGATGGCATCAAAAGAAGGAGATGATATGAGGAAGAGGGTGGTGGAAATGAGTGGCGCTGTCAAGCGGTCGGTGGAGGAAGGCGGTGTGTCACGCATGGAGTTGGATTCTTTCATTGCTCATATCACCAGATCATAGCTAAGTTTGATAATTTGTCAAGGAAATCATGATTGCAAAACTTAGTTGATGAATGAAATAATTGTTGTATTAGTAGTTTCTAGTGGAGACGGTAGCAAATTGTAGTAGTCTACAGCTGAAGTGTTCATCAAAGTTATTAAGTTCCATGTTTTTTTATCTTTTTAATTTGTCAAGGAAATCATGATTGCAAAACTTAGTTGATGAATGAAATAATTGTTGTATTAGTAGTTTCTAGTGGAGACGGTAGCAAATTGTAGTGGTCTACAGCTGAGGTGTTCATCAAAGTTATTAAGTTCCATGTTTTTTTGTCTTTTTATTCGGCAAATCTCTTTTTCTTCGTGTTCCATCATGTTAATTTACAAGACAAACACAATATTTTAAATATATTACACCTTTAAAAAAAAATTGAGTATAGAAGATTGAATACCTCCAAATTGGCGGTACTTCATCTCCTGTATTTTACGTCTGTTCGAACACTTACCACCCATTTAAAACTTCCTTCCGTCCATGTATTTAATTATCCTATGAACATGTCTTGTGTGTCCATTGAGATTGTTTTGATGATAGATTGGCAGGTTGATGTTTTGTTAAATTTAAATTGAGGCTGTTAGAGGAGTGTTACCATTAATTAAATTTGTTACAGATTATTAATGTTGATAATTTGAAAATTTATCTATTGGGTCATAATTAAAAAATAATAATATTGGGTCGTTTGAGAAAAGCACAATCCATTGTACCAACACGGTCCAATCCAATATTATACCGATCGAATAGGTAAGGATTGAATTTTCTCACGAATCGGTTCGGTTTTATATTTCACCAATTCGTTGAGACCGAAACAGATTACATTTGAATCCTAATATCGAATTTATTCTTACATATCATACATTCTAAGTGAGAGTCCTGAGTTTTCAAATTCTCAAATTTGGTTAGGCATCAAGGGAATCATGGCAAGACACTTACATTAGGGTAGGGAAAGTGAAGGAATAACTCAGTCACCTCTTTAAATGGACTAGGACTGAAATAAATTAATATTCTTTTTCACTATTTTTACATGTTAGTATTTTCCTGAACAGAATAAAAAAGCCATATGCTTTGATCTTCAAATTTTTAAGTAAGTTACAGTCAAGCCATCATTTTCTAGAGTTTGGATCTTATTCAGTATTCAACGATCCTCATCACTCACACGTGGGCACAATTATACGTGTGAGTAATGTGAATCGTCAGATGTAACACGCGTGATTCACTCACCATTTTCCAACCTTTCTTCATCAAAAAACTAGACCGGAAGCAATTGCCTCCCCTGCCGCGTCCATCCGTTATGTAAATTCCCCCACAACCACCCTTTATTTCTTGCCGAGTAAAAAAGGATAATCAACTCAAATAACAAATTGCCAAATTACCTAAGCAACATTCCAGAGTATAACCTCTTTGATCTTCAAAATTTTGGAATGTTTCCGAGCACCCACCAAGGAAAAAACTCGAAAACGAGAATGTAACATTTCTAACACTTAGTGCATCAATTGACTATTGATTCCATCCATGGACTTGTCCTCCTTAAAAAATTCTCTAATAGAAAAGTCCGCAACTTCGCAGAAGCTCCCGAGCAAAGAGGTCTGTTTGAAGTTGCTCAACTTTTTCTTTTTTATTTTCTATTTTGATGGATAATACATCTAAAACTTGTATGCATCACGACATACATAAAATAGAGACATAACTGACTACTACTACAATTTAATTATGAGGAATTCCTAAAGTTTATGGTTCTGTTACGGTAAATCTATTAACTTACATAAAGAACCAACTGATTTAGAGAGGAGACCAAGAAACCTCTTCTAACTTACATAAAGAACCAACTGATTTAGAGAGGAGACCAAGAAACCTCTTCCAAAATTTCATCAATGTCTAACCACCACCAACATCAAAGTGAGGACGTAACTGGTTCCAAACAAGATCAAGTGGTTGTAGTCATGGTGCCTCTTCCGGCACATAGCCATCTCAACCTGCTCCTCAAACTCTCCTGCCTCATCTACCCACAACCGCCAGGCCAAACTTCGTGCCAACAGCCTGAATCCTCTTGATGTTGCCAAAATCCATTTCCACGATTTCCCAACCCCTCCTTTTCTCTCTCCTACTCCCAACCCTAACTCCTCCATTAAGTTCCCTGCACATCTTCTGCCATGCTTCGAAGCCTCCTTGCATCTCCGCCAACCGGTTGCTGCACTCTTACATGAAATATCCCCAACAGCCAGAAGAATTGTAGTAATCTCACTCATTTCTTCAACCAATGGGAAGCCATGGGAAAACCATTCCAAGTAGAAGCAGAACCAGAAGGCCTACCATCCTCCGTGGAAGGATGTGTTACCTTCGAGTTGATAAACTTTGCAGTTCCTCAATATGATCTTCTGAAACTTGGATCTGGAGATATCTATAACTCGTGCAAATTGATGGAAGGTACTTACATTGATCTACTAGCAAATGAGCAAATGACTGGAAACAAGAAGCAATGGGCAATTGCACCAGCGAACCTGGTGAAAATCTTTGAGAACAAATGTTCAGATAGACAGCACAGATGCCCCTGGATTTCGGGCTGAGGGGGAGTATGCTGGGAAAGTCTGTCGGCTACGGAAGTCTCTTTAGGGTCTGAAGCAATCTTCTAGCTTGGTTTAGACATTTCAGCGATGTTCTATCCATGGGCATGGGCTTTGTGCACTGCCACTCAGACCATACTGGCTTTATTTGACATCACTATGATGGTCGCTGCATTATGTTATTAGTATATGTGGATGATATCATTATCACATGTGATAATGTTTCAGGGATTGCTCAGCTGAAACTTCATTTTCAAAAATCCTTTGACGTGAAGGACTTAGGTCCCCTTCGATATTTTCTTGGAATTGAGGTTGCTAGATCCCGTCGTGGAATTTCCTTATCTCAAAGGAAATATGTTTTGGATCTTCTTCAAGATACTGGCATGCATGCTTGGGTGTCGACCCGCTCCCACTCCTATGGACCCCAATCTCAAACTCTCTGTTGAATCAGGGAAATTACTTCCAGATCCGTCCGTGTATCAACGTTTGGAGTTGCTCGATAAACAAGATCCAAAATCTGTAATATATGTTTCTTTTGGAACAACTGCTTTAGTAGAAGATGAACAGATCAAAGAGCTTGCCTTCAGGCTAGAACAGAGCAAACAGAAGTTCAGCTGGGTATTGAGAGATGCAGATAAAGGAGACATCTTTGCTGGGGAAGTTAATGGAATTGAACTGCCCGAAGGGTACAAAGAGAGAATTGAAGGAGTTGGAATGGTGGTGAGAGATTGGGCACCTCAACTAGAAATCTTGAGGCATCCATCAACTGGTGGATTCATGAGTCATTGTGGATGGAATTCATGCATGGAGAGTATTACTATGGGAGTGCCTATAGCAGCCTGACCAATGCACTCTGACCAACCAAGGAATGCAATGTTGGTAACACAAATACTGAGAGTTGGTCTGGTTGTCCCGGAATGGGCACACCGGGAGAAGTTGGCGACTTCATCAACCATAAAAAAAAAAAGCTGTGAAAAGATTGATGGAATCAAAAGAAGGAAATGAAACGAGAGAGAGGGCTGAGGAACTGGGTAGAGCCATCAGACGGTCTACAGAAGAAGATGGAGTTTCTCGCTTTGAGTTGGATTCTTTCATTGCTCACATCACTAGACAGGATAGGTTGGTTTTGTCATTGAGGGATAAACGCATTATTCAGATATGAGCATTCTCCATAATCCAACAATCAAAAATTACTGTAATCTGATCGATTTTATACTTGAAGCATACAACAGTTAGTAGTCAGCTGATAAAATTTTCATCGATGTAAACAGGATTGTATGTGTATATACATGCATACATCCCTGCGTGTATTTGTTTGCAAGAGAGCATCACTTTCTGCTTGGTGGTCAGACCATGACCAAATGCACTACTATGTACTTTTTAATGGGAAGTGATAAGAATTGTGCTTTCTTATTCTTTAGATTTGTTCATGTTAAAATTTACAGTCCAGTCAATTTAAGTCTCCTAGTTCTAGAACATGAATAACACCGTTATGCCAACTCATCTCAAACGAAAATTTATTAATTTTATCATAATATCTAAAGTCAAATGTCCAGAGAAAAAAAAAACAAAAAACAAAAAAACAAAGCATAAGGTTCAAATAATCAACTTTAGCTCACCAACCATACCTAATAATCGATCCTTCTTCCAACAGGCAAATATTAATTAAATTGAATAGTATTTACATACCACAAAACCTATCTTTGTGATTTTGATGATGGTTTCTATTGTCAAACTTTGATTACAGAAATAACGCACAGAAGATAGAAGTCAATAATTGGGACAAAATTGCTTGGCTTCTAGTTCCCTCCCTCAGGAGTCAAAAGTCGAAACTAATAATTATTCCAATTAATATTGAAAGAACAGAAAACCAAAAATAAGTCATATAACAAATAACAATTGTGCATGATCCAAAAAGAAAAAAATGTGAAGACATAAATAGATAGCTATTCATGTACACACTGTAAAACTGATTTCCATCTATATCAAACATTACGATCATGTGTTTAATATAAGTTTTACTTCTAGATGTCAGGATCTATAAACTTGCAACTCCAATTATGTCATGACATTGAATGTAATTATTCTCATTCAAAACTTACATTCTATCCGTACAAGAAAGTCATGGAAGGATAGGGAGTTCCACTCTCTTGAAGGAGAAGAAACTGACACGTCCATGCTCAACATGACAAAACTTCAAAGGAATGCCGTTGCATTGTCTCTCAAGGTCTTCAATTTCCAATTTGGATGGCAGATGACCACTACAATAGGAAGCAAGTCATCATCAATTTGAGAATATTTGACATGAAAGACATTGATATACACGAGGAAAAAAATGAAAGAAACAATTGAAGTGACTAAAATGGTCTCTCTAATGGCCGCCAAGATCATTCCCATGGCCAAAAATCCCCAAGAAGAAATTATAAGAGAGAGAGAGAGACTTGGTCATCACATGCTTCTCAGTGCACAAGACACATGCATCTTCAATGACAAATTAAAATATGTGGATTGACTGGTAAAAGCTCAAAAATATATATATATAATAAGTTTTTTTTTTCCCCCAAATGAACCATGGCTTATTGACAGCCTAAGACATGCTTGTTGAATAATTTTTTTTCACTGATAATCTTTCCATGTTTAGAGACAACATAGTTTATATAACAAATTGTAAGAAAACATGGTTCATACTAAAGCAATATATTTACAAGTGTATCAAATTTTCAAGCTATATCAAGTAGAGGGTAAACATTAGGCTGATCCAATATATTACAGCAGAGCAGAAACATCATATGGAAGAAACTGAAATTGGTTACCTGGTTAAGCATACCATAAAACTTGGATTGCCAGGAGAAGACTTTTTAAATTTGCTGTTAGGAAGATAAACATCAAAAACTGGTCTCGCTTCATTAATCTGCATCTTGTTGAACAGTTCAAAGACAAAACTATTGTCATTAGATTCCGTGTCCATTATCCTATTGATTTCTGGCGTGTCTTGAAGAGAAACCGGCTTACAATTAACACCCTTCATAGTCCAAGGTATACCATGTCGCCCAATAATGTAACCAAGAGATTTCAAGTGCCTAAAAACCTCAAATGACTCCCAGCAACATCCACTCTTTCCTTCTGCAACCTTCTTATATATATCTTTTAGGGGAAGAGATGTACCATCATCATCCAAGAGGTGCAATGCCCCTATTTCGGCCAAAAACCTACAGAAAATACCAAACACTACTCGCATAAAAAGCATAACTACAACTTTATTTGAAACATATACCATATTTGGTATTTGCTTTGTTTTGTTTTCTTTCATGGCAATCCATGACCGTGGACTGGCCGAAAAAGGAAGTTTTTGCCCAAAACACTTTAAACTTTTTCTCCCGAACGAAAAATAAGGGAGATGCTCAGGGAAATCAAAATCTTTCATTTGTCAATTGAAGCAACTAGAATTCTTTAGATCCTTCAGTTTTGGTTTTCTAACATTTCTATGCATAAAATCAACAAGTAAGTTGAACTTATACTAGGTATTTGCCGACAAGTTTTCATTTTCTTTCATTCATGCCGATTCATGACCGAATGGATCAAACCCATGGCTCAAAGTCAGACAATCATTCATGCGTCAACGGGATCCATCCTTTACTTTTGGTATCTACCATCTCTATAGATTCAGCTTATTACAATAATTGGAAGAAAAAAAAAAAATGAATTTATTTTCTTGAATCAACATCGTATTAATATTTGCTTCCTATAAAAAGTAGGAAGGAACCTACATTAAATGGTGGAACTTATACACATTCAAAGAACAAAATTTCTTAATGCATTTTTAGTTTGTCTAAAGTGCATTAACAGACATAAACCAAGATTAGTAGGATACATATCAGAGTTGGAAAAGGCCCGACTCATATACTGTCAGTTTTCTTATTAAATAGTAATAAATTGGGCCACATGGAATCATTTTATAATAAAAACGACACAAGTCTAACAACAACTAATTGTTCCAATATTTTTCTTGATTCATTCATCACCTTCCAAAATAGTCTTCAAGGTTCTATGAAATCCTTCATCCCCAGGTTCAATTTAACAAAAAATAGAATAATCTAGTTAATTCTTCCTGCTTAATCAACCTTGGAACAACAGACTGAATAACACCACTGTAATAAAATATTATTCTGAGATCGAGTAACAAATAAGTCAATAGATACTGGTAATTCTCATAATTACCGTTGCTTGTGTTGAAAAAGTTTCCTTCATGGATGTAGATGTAAAGCTTTGACTATTGCAATCCAAATATCACAAAACAAGTTATTAATCTTATATCGAAAGGACAAACAAAAGATAATAACAGATACCTGTCAGACATATTGAAAATTCATTGTTATATATGAATATAAACTAAGTTCCCCATACTTGATTTACAATAGACGTAACAATTGGAGTTTCATATCAAAGATAATAGAACCAATACACTACAGTTGACTAATATTTATAAAATGCATTCAAAATATAATATTGAACCAATAATGATAATAGAATTGGGAATCATAAAGTAATCTCATCACCTACAAAGTCTCTTCAATTGAGCAATAGGTCTTGCTGCAACGAACTATCCCAGTTGTTGTCCACATTTTACCCTTCTTCTCCACAACCTCAGCCATTCCCAACGCATTGTTCCAACGAGCCTTAGATGTGTCTTTCCTGAGGAAAACAACACAGAATAAGTTTTATAACCACGCCACTATAAAAACATTCCAAAGAGTTTATTCCTCGAAAATCTTACCTAAATTGCAACTTGGGTATATCACCAGATGTATAGCAATGTTCCTCATCATTAGCATCCCGCACAGAAATCTCAGAGTCACTCACTTCACCAAAAGAACTTGCCCAATCCTCAACCTCCATTACTCCAATTATTGATTGTGTTAAGAATCCCTATAACTTGAACATGGGTAACAGCAAAAAACTTTTTAAGTATTACAAGAACTATTTTAAGAGTTATGAAATAAAAAAACCAATTTTAGCCTAATCTTAATTAATAATAAATAAATAAAGGAAAGAGAGTGAGGCTCTCAAAATTTTAACACGGCACAATTTTGTTTATAAGCCTAACAATATTAACATAAAGACAAATTGTATGGGAAGCAATTGCAGAACCTTCAGTGGAAAGGGACCTGTAGATGAGGTATCGTTGGTGGCTACCTTCAATGAAAGGCCTGCCAATAAGGCATCATAGTGCCAACAATCATTTGCAAACACTAAGGTTTTAAATCACCGTAACAGCTGCTGAATGATACGGACAAAGGGTGTAATGGACACACCATGTAACAGATACAAATGTAGGAGGCCTGGATTTGTTGCACAGTTCCCACAAAATGTAGCGATAAACTTGCTTTGACCCCAAATTTCTTAAGTTTTTTTTTTCTTTAGCTCCTAAAGATGTTTCAGTATAAGTGATTAAATTTATATTGATTTTAAGTTATTGACAGCAAGAATGCTTGCTCATTTTTACATTTCACTACTTCTACAAGCATGAGTATTGAACACGAAAAATTATCAGATTTAAAGCAAGTTCAAAAATATCATTCTCTCACAGTCATATAAGGACAAAATGAAAGGGTTGGATCCATATAGATTTAGCTCTGGAAAGTGGAAAAGAGTCACTAACGCATCTCTGTAACCTAACTTATTATAGATCAAGGTGAAAATTTGACATGTCACATATCTAAACCTAATTCAATCCAAAACAGTGAAAAAAAGAAAGAATATATATCTAACACGAGTGTCTAAATCGAGACCTAAAGTTAGATATTACAGATTTTACTTGCATGGTATTTCCATAGCAATCCAATCCACCGCCCAAAAAAGAAAAAATTCAAAGCTCAAGATAACAAAAAAAAAAAAGTGATGGACTAGTCATAAAAAAATTTGTGTTCAGTATGACATCACAGTCCCATATCCATGATGAACTGGGCACCATACAAGCAGGCCCTGTTACAGCACTGCAATTGTAAATTTCAACAAGATCAGTATTCAGCGCCTAAAGCCACTAGAAATTAACGTTTTTGATGCATTTCTATGGAATTTGCCTTGGCTTTTAACTAAATTTCCGCACACCTATTTTTCTTACCAAGAACTGAGTAGGTCCAAAATGTCAGTTCTCATCCAAACTTCAACAAACAACAAACAGTCCTTTTCAAAACCCTTTTATTTTAAACCAATTTCAACTAAATTTAACACGATTTTTTTCAGGACCCAATTTCTACACAAGTGCAAGTTTTTGCCTTAGACATTCAGTCTAAATACTAAATTTGTCAACTGTTCCCATAAACCAGCTACATTTTGAATTATATAATCTAGAAATTTTACCTAATATGGACGACAGAATACAGACACAAAAGCAATTAATAGCATGTCACGATTAATACTTAAAGAAAATTACAAAGAAAAAAAAAAATATATATGCGAGAATAACCTCCTCTCTTCTTTTCACTTTTTTTCTTCTTTTATCTTTTTATTTTCATATCACAACAATATTGCAAATGTTAACTTGATTTTTACACTGGAAACAACAAGGATGTGGAGATTGAAAACATGAATAAAACCGATTATACGATTTACAGAAAAAAAAAAAAAAAAAAAAAAAAAAGAGTACCTTAGTCAATAACTGTGCAGCCTCCTCCTTCTCAATCACTTTTTTGCGGTAGATAAAGGGGGAACAGGGTAGTGAAGACGGAAACGGGAGCAAACACTGACGAGGGTATACGAGAGACTCGAGAGTGTGTTGGAGACGATGGTCTCGCCATATAGAGAGAGCGCGTTTGTTCCGAAGAAAAAAGGGAAATTTATAAAAGGGTAATTTACACAAACCTCCTAATGGTTTGTCATAATTAGGAACATTTCCTATTGTTTCGGAAATTATTAGGACCTCTCCAAAGAATGAAAATAATCTACATAAACCTCCTTCTTGGTAGAGTTAACGTTAGTCAGCGACGAAAATTAATGACGTCAGCTACTAGTTTTATAAAAATTTCTAAAATACCCTTGTCTATATACTTGATATTATATTTTAGATGCTGATGTTAAAATTCCCAAAATACCTTCATCTTCTCCATTACGTATACAGTATATTTACAGACCTGGCTGAGCCAAATATGAAAAATATAATCTTCCCAAATGATGATATAGACATGCTAGCAAAGAATTTGAATCAAATTATAAATACACTATCATATAGTCTCAATTATCTAATTTTAGTCATACCCAAATGGGGGCTGTTGGTGGTCGGCTGTGGTGGGGATTGGCCGAAGGATAAGTGGGTTGGGTGAATGGTGTATCATTGTACATGAATATATATATGTGTGTGTGCGCGCGCGGAGAAGTCTTTAGAATCTTAAAGCAGCCGTAGGTGTATCATAAGACTTTGATTTTGACGACACACTTTTGATCAGCGATTCCAGGGAGCCAGGTTTGATCCATCGCAACACGATTTACCCCGACGGGGAGCGAGTCGGTCTCCAAATTCTTTATATTAATTCGATCGATGTTGACGAGGAATCTCTGCGACCATTATCCCGTTCCGAAAGAGTGGTGATGGTAGTGGCGGCGACGTATAGATCTAACATATATAGAGTTCTGTGGTGATCGAGTGTACCTTTGTGTTTTGATTTTTGTGAGTTGTATTCCTCATTCCTCATTATAAGCTTGTGTGTGTGCGCGCGCGTGCACGCGTATTATGTATAACACGCCGGAGGATGCCTGCCATTAGATTGAAACCAATGAAATCCATTGATGTTCTGTGTTTTCGAATTGGGTCTCTAAAATTGTTGTTCGATCTCACCAGATTGAAACATGCCCAAACTGAAACTTGTGAAGTTCTTGACCAAACTGAAATTCTTTGTTGCTTCAGTACTTTTCTGATCACTTACTAGATTGAAATCAACTAACCACGCTTGAATTGTGGTTCATCGGACCTATTATGTTCTCTCTTATTGCCTCTGAAATTGGAAAATTTATTTTTATATATACATACATACATACATACACACTGGGATATTTAAGTCATTTATCATTGAAAGTTTAGGGTATTTCAGTAATTTTGTTAGCTCCGTTAGCGTGGTCTGTCACGCATAAGGGAGGTCCGTGTAGATTATTTTCATTCTCAGAGGAGATCCGAGTAATTTCTGAACAGAAAGGGAAGTCCCTATGATTATGGCAAATCATAGAAAAAGTTTGTGTAAATTACCCTTCATAAAATGACAAAGGTTTAATTCTCCTTTAATTATAGGTGTTTTTATTTACAAAAAAATAAAATAAAAAATAAAAAATAAAAAATCCTTGTGTAAAAATTTTATTGTCCCGTTAAAACAAGGCAATGATTTTTAGGGCATCCACATCAGGAGCATCAGCCAGTCCTGATTTTGCCTCTTAAAAAATCTCATTTTAGTTTTTTCAAGAGCCACCTGAGTAATCTTTCAAAAAAAAAAAAAAAAGAGCTCCCAAAAAAAAAAATTTATTATTATTTTTTTGTAACAACTATATTTCTAACAGCAATAAGACTAATTTGCTCATTTGAAAATGTCACTTTAAACAATACATTATTCATTATGGATTAAAAATAAATAAATTAAACAAAACAGTTAAAAATAAATTAAACAATACAATATCCTGAATTGGAATAAGAAAATAAATAGCCTAAAGATTACAAATCCTATGGGAAACTTGAGGTGGACCGTGAATGCATATATTCAAATATCTCACGTTGTTGTGCAATAATCCAAACTTTCCCCGCTTCTGTTAGAGCCAATTTTGGCTCTGTTAACATAATATCATTCTCTTCAGCTCTTTTTTTCTTCTCAATCTCTAACTGTCTCGTCTTCTCTTTCTCCGCTTTTCTTATCTCTCGTGCGACTTAGGCATCCTTAAATTTCTCCTTACGACTCTCATAACGGCATTTAAGATCATTAAAATTGGTTATGAATGAATTTTGCAATTCGAATGCAAAATTATTTTTTCCTCGATGCTACTTCGCTGCTTTTCTTCTTGTTGATCATTGTACTTGTTGATATTCTTCCACATCAGGTGAATAATTTTCGCCCATGTGCGGTGATTCTTCAATCTAAGCTCCATCTGTCGTGGCTACAGGACTTGATAAAGTAGATGGTATTGAGTACCTAACAAATTCATTAATGTCAAAGTCAAATCAACTTTTCTTCAGCTGTTTTTTCTTTTTTCTTTTTTTCCTACTTGTTCGGTACAATGTGAATGTCATTTATTGTTACGTTTCAAGATATGCCCACAACTTTCTAACTTAAATTCACCGATTGTTTGTCTACGAAAGAGGCATTTAGCTGCTATAATCTACACGAAAAAATTAACAACAAATTAATATCCGAATGTTTAAAATTTTTACGAGTTATATTTAAAACAATAAATAACTCAAAATATCATCAGTGCCAAAGCGGGTGATTCATTTTGATGTTAGTCATGCACTCTGAAAATTTGTTGATTTTTTGTTAAATGGTGAACCAATGATTCATCAGAACTCCTGGATTTCGTGAAGTTGGAACACCAAGACATTGTACATAATTATCGAGGATTCGCTCCCATAACTTCTTCGTACTTTGGTCTATCCCCGTAATCGTATCGGTGGTAATGGATATCCACGCCCAACATAAAGCCTTATTTTCAGCCGTTGACCAATTTGGAATTCAGATAATCGTTTGTTGTGTGGAAAATTGGGAATAACTTGATTATGGCACAGGGTACTACAATATTGATGAGAAGGTTGGGATCGTTGATAAGAATGAAATTGAGATTCTCCTCTATAATAATTAGAATGTAGTTTTGACTGGGAAGACAAATCGATATTATTTTCGTCAAATGGCAACTCTTCATTTAATAAGTTGAATTGGGTGTTGTAGTAATATGGATGTCAAAGATCCATGGAATTGGATTGAGTTTTAAAATAATAGTTAAGATTGAGAAAATAAAAGATGAAATAACTTGAATAATATAAATAGAGATGTGTTAGATGTGAGGTGAATGTTGTAATAGTTAGGGTATTTATAGAAGAGAAATGAATTTTTTATTTTATTTTTGTTATAAAAAAAGTTTTAAAAAAATTATTTTAAACTTTTTTTAAAAAAAAATTATAGTCATTAAGGCACTGTTTGTGTGAGCCAAACAGTGTCTTAACGGCCAAATGCACTGTTTGTGGCAGTTTTTTAAACATTAAAGCAAAAAAAAGTTTAAAAAATCAAATTTAAAGAAAAAAAAAGGGTTTTTAAATTTATTTTTGACCGAAATCAAAAAAAAATTGAACAAAGAGTGCCTAATCAATATATTTTTTATTTAATAAGTTTTATTTTATTTTTATTTTTTTTAAAAAAAAAAAAGAAGCTCAAAATAACCCATTTTTGGGTTTTTTTCCAAAAAACCAATCTGCCAGGCTGATATTTTTAAAAAAGGACCCGCTCGACCCAAAACGACGTTGTTTTGGCAAAAAAAAAATAAATACCGCAATCAGGCTCGCACTATTCAGCAAACCAACCCGCGAGACGTTGTGGGCCCGCCCAATTACCGCTAGTCCGCTGCGGTGTGTTTTGGGCTCTTGACTCGCGGAATATGGGTTTGGCGATTGGACTGCGGATGCTCTTAACAATGAAATAAAACTTATACTCATTTTAAAAAAATAAAAATACCTGTAGAATGAGAAATTGGGCCAAATGAGAGGAAAACTAAAATGGAATAAGAAGGATGCATTTAAATTTATAAAGTGATGGAAGTATAAAATGATTATTTATGCAAGTATTTGGCACATTATTGTAGTTTATAAAAGAAAATTAAATTTTTTGAAAGGTATTTATCATTAAAGATATAAAGAAAGAAAGAAAAAAAAATATTTTTAAGAGAGAAATTAAGAAAAATTTAGTGACGATAACTATCAAAAACTTAATCTAGTGAGGCTCCAAAATGCAAATAAGCCGAGTCATTCACAAATAGTTTGGACTAAGCAAATGAGTTGAGTTCGAGCTTATTTTATAGGCTTGATTAATAAATGAAATAATCCTGAGCATTGTTGGGCTCGACTCATGAACATAAGCTCGTGTAGACTTTTATGTTCATAAATATAAGTTTGGACTTTACTGGTACACTTGTTGATATTTGTTTATGTTTTTTTATTAAAATTCTTTAATCTTTGAAAGTATAAAATTTCAATAATTTATTAAACAAGTTTGACGAGGAGCTTAGAGCATCCAACTGTTGTGTATATATTTTTGTGTAAATCTAATGTCTCAAAGTAGATTTACACAAAAAAATTTATACTATCCATTTTTAGCTCCAGCGGTTATTTTATACCTTTTATGTAAAAAAAAAAAATCCCCCTATAACAACCAACCACGTGTCATACTCAAGGCCCCACATAACTTTTACAAACCTACTTGATTCACTTTACTTTTTGGCGATTAAACCTCACATCCTAATCCTCTTCAATTAGGAAAAAAAAAAATTAATTTTCCCCTATATTTCACTTTCCCATCTAAATTATAATTTTATAACAAATAATAAAATAAGATTCAAGTATGTGGAAACTTCATAATAAGAGGTTTTATATCAACAATTATATAAAAATGTGATTAAAATATATATCTAATATTTGGCTAGCTAGTACATATTTATTTCATTATAATATAATGTAAAAGGATAAAAAAATCTAAAACAAATTCTAGAATTTACATCGATGATTGCAGAAGATAAAATCAAACCAAAGTGATGAAACTATGTTTAATAATAATAATAATAATAATAATAATAATAATAAAAGATGGTCAAACAGTTTTTACTTTGCTGCCAGTTGCAGATTATTCTCTATAGCGCTATAGAAAAGTGGGAAACAAAGAGACGTAAATGAATGAGAATGAGAGAGAATAAAGAGAACCGCGAGTGGAGAACGGGAAGGAGAGAGCAAATATGCGTTGTTGTGTAAAATGGCGGTTCAAAATATATCATCCTTTTACACATTGGTAATGTGACAATATATTTTAACATATTGCTGAAAATGAAAAAAAAAAAAATTATAAATCATATGCGGCAGAAATGAAAAAGAAATTATAAATTATATGCGATAGTGTATATTTTACCAAAAAAAAAAAAGAAAGGTTTTTTAACAAACCGCGGCAGATACTCTTAGGCTATGTTTGGTAGGGTGGGTTTAAAGGGGGAGGATAACATTGGTTACGACGGAAAGGGAAGGGAAGGGAAGGGAAGGGAAGGATAAGTTTAATCTTCAATCGTGTTTGGTTGATTAACGAAAGAAAAGAAAGGGAAGGATAACAATCATGTTTGGGAAAAGAAAAGAAAGGGAAGGATAATAATAAATTTACTATTATGCCCTTTTATATTTTAAAAGATGAATTTTGAGATTTAAATATGCAACAACATTTTTGCCCCAAGAGGAGTCGGCTCAAGTAAAAGTGGAGGAGGCTCCAATATGAATGGAGCCGGCTCAAGTAAAAGTGGAGGAGGCTCTGCTTTAAGTAGAGGAGGCTCCAATATGAGTAGAGCAGGCTCCCAAAAATGGGAGGCGGCTCCTTTCAAAAAAAATTGTTCTGGGAACCAATTTTAGCTACTAGAATGAAGATCAAGTGTGTGTTTTTTTTTCCTTTCAGTTTCCATCGCTGTTACAGTTCGGGTTCGCCGTCGCCATCCGCCTCAAAAAATCAAAACCCGCATCTTTTAGTTTCCATCGCTATTCCAGTTCGGGTTTGCCGTCCGCCTCAAAAAATCAAAACCCAAATCTTTCAGTTTCCATCGCTGTTCCAGTTCGGGTTCGCCGTCCGCCTCAAAAAATCAAAACCCACATCTTTCAGTTTTCATCGCTGTTCCAATTCGAGTTCGCCGTCCGCTGTTCGCAAGCTTCCCGCACTAAATACATGTTCAATATCAAGTGCAATTTTGAGGATAAAAGTGACATGACAAATATTATATGAGCCATTGCCTTCCCTTTCCTTCCTTATCCTCCCATTTTTGAAAGGTTAAAGAAATTACTATACATTGTTATGAAGAACCCATCCAAACCCTTCCCTCTCCTTCCCTTTCCCTCCACTCACCTTACCCAAACACAATTTTTTTATAACCCTCCGTCACCTTCCCTTCCCTTTCCCTTCAAACCCACTCTACCAAACTGAGCCTTAGGTTTTTGAGCTCATCGGATATATATATATATTCAAGAAAAAATAAAATTAGAGCACATTTCTAAGCGTGTTCTCAGAATCGCTAGTATCCTTGCCCTTTCACTGAATTTACTCAGAGTCACAAAATTAGCGAAACGGCTCATCTACCGCACAGAGAATGCCGAGGGTGACCACTGTATTGCAAAAGGGTCGCAAAGCTTTACAAGACTTGAATCTGCTCAAGATTTTGCAGTCCGAGATCAGTCACGAGCAGTCATCTAATCCCTTTCAGGTACTCTTCTATTTCATCTCTCATCTCTTTCTATATACGCGTGTGTGTGTATATATATATATATATATAATATCTTTGATTGAATAACTTGCATTGCTCGTATTTATTTAGCTTTTTAATTATCTCTTTCCGTATATATACATATAATTTCAAAACTCTTTATTTTCTTTAGGTGAAAAGATGTAGTGTGAAAATTGTTGAAATCTTTGATACGGTTGTTCCCAATGTTGAATGATTGATGAAAAACTATACCTTACTTTATTTTGTCTGACAAGATTGAGTAAAAGCCGAGGGGGATCGCAAGTTTTCTCCTAGAATGTGTTTGCATTTGTTTTTTACATCACATAGCTGTTAGGAATCATATATTTTCTTATATAAAATGGTCAGTAGGGGAGTTTACACCTGTTTTATTTAAGCAAATGGAGAAGGTAACATTGAAAGGGGCAGCCCTACACCAAACTTGATTTTTAAATGAAGCTTCCCTTGGTTACCCTACTCAATGAATCGTAGAAAGTTGTCAATGCGAAGCTGCCCGACCTCACTTCTCTTCTGACCCAAAGCATTGTTATCCACCAAGGTGATGCCATAAGAGCACACTTAAGATACAGGGTGCTCTCATACTCCAATAAGGCCGAGAGTCGGCTGACCCCAACTAACTTGATTTTCAATGTTAGCCTTTTTACAGTAAGCAATTGCAAAATTGCTTGAAAATTGGATTTTGAGAGAAGAATCATGACACACGAAGTTTCATGTGAGGATACTGCTTCTTTTTCATATGAAATGCAAATCATTCCCCTCCCTTTATCCATATATTAGATAAAAACATGATGGAACTCGATCCTTTATCATTCTTTAAGTATCCCTCACCTCATTACTCCAGAAGCCTTCTCTCTTCCTTAAAAACCTCCACTTATCCACATTGTACCTGAGACAGTCCTTCCCACCTCAACATTTCAAATCTGCTTTATATACTGAGGGTTCACAAAGCTGAAGAAAATTCCTCAAATTTCCGGATGAAAATTTATGGTGTTAGATTTGGGTGGACTTGGTGGCTTTTTGTTTAAAAACACCAAAAGAATGTTGGAACCCCTACTATCTGGATGTAAATGAGAGACATCTAATTGTTTTAATGATAGATAAATTACTCTTCACTAGAGTCAGTAATCCACCTTTGAGAGTTGGATCCTTGTGCACTGAACCGATCTAATTTTCAGCCCTTGATTAATGAGGTCTTAAATTTCCTTTGATTACCAAAAGCAGGTCCGATGATAATTTCCAAGTTCCTTAGATTCCCTACATATATTTTACATGTATTCGGCAACGTATGTCGGGCATGGTTATGTGTCAAAGCATTATATTAGCTAATCATCCAATCATGAGCCCAAAGACCTGGGGAGACCACTAAACATTCACATTTTTTAATTTCTATGGTAAATTGTCACCATGAATACTAGCTTTGAAACAAAAATGCAATAAAAGGAATATAGTTGGGGAATTTTATATACAGTTGTATAAATTCTTGAATTACAAGATATGTTTCTTAGGAGCACATCTAATCAAACATGTTGGACACAATATCGATACCCATGATCAAGTGTCATGTGCTCGACAGAGGTACTTCATGCATATTGAAGAGTCCATGTAGTATAGTTCCATATCACCTGCCAATAGATGGTTGCTTTTTCTTTTTCCGAGCAAAGAGGTTGTCTTGAAACATGGAAGCACACATCTCAAATTTATTATCTACACCAAACCCTATGCCCAAAAGATAAATGTTTCAATTCATTACAACAAGTGAAATAATTTTCCCTCCTCCAACCTGGAATTCTTCAACTATCTCTTGCCAATGCCTTTGATGTGCAAATGTTAAAACCCATGCCACTAATGTGACAAGTAATGGATAGACATGGCACCCTGGTTCTTTGCAGTGTTTTAGGGGTTATTACTAGGCAATTAGTGTTGGTGTTACCGGAAAGAGTGACATGAGCCGACTTTCATCTCATAGTAAGGTTAAAAGTTTGCATTTATATTTCGCATGTAATTGAACGGATCCATTATGTTCTATACAGCTATTGTTTTCAATAATTCACGTTCAAACTGCGCAACCAAAAGAAATTGTGTTCTCTCCTACTTTTGTATGTGAGCAATGCTAGGTTATCTTGAAAGGACACTGTATCTCACTTTCTACTGTTCAAGATGTATGCCATTCTCTGCGATGGCACCATCATGCCAGTGAACTTCTAATACCATTGAGATGGTAATGGAGTTCTAATTTTAGTTTAACATAGACTGTTAGGGGCTCTTTTAACTTCGTTATTGTTGGCATGATACAGAATAATGTAAGTGGTTCCTTGGGAGATTTTGTATTGGACTGGGATTCACCACAGTCCCAAGATGTTGTTTTGCGGAAGAAATGCGATTCAGGTGAGGAGGTTGCAGTTTCAGCTTTGCTTGGTCCTGAAACCTTTGAAGGAGGTAAGTTTTCCAGGGAAGCTCTGATGAAGATTTGCATAAAGAAGCCTGGACTGAGCTCCATCTTACAGTTTGATTGTGGAGTTTCTAGTAAAGATGAAGATGGGTCCGAGTTTGACATCCAAAATGCCTATTATATCCAATCATCAGCCTGTTTGGGCCCTTCAGTCTACCGAGGCCCCTTATTCAGGTAAAATTTGCTTTTATGTCAGTGATTGAAGTTATTTCTTGTTTTAGGACATTCAAATGGGAAAAGGTTTTTTTTTCCCCAACTTTGTGTTGTTTGTAAATCGAGTTCCCCTTTCAAATTTCCCCATTTGGAAATGAAAAGGAAAGGCCAGACAGGTTGTTAAATTTGGCTTAGACATTTAGAATATTGAGCTCTAATTGTAAACTTGCTTATAATAATGAACGTTTAGCTTATGTTGGCACTTTGCATACTAAACCCGATGAGAGAGCTCCAATGGTGATACAGTAAATTTTGTTCTGAATTTCTGCGATCCCCTAAAAAGGCAAGTGTCTGCCTCAGTGACAAATGATGTAACTTCACCTTTTAGCTTTAGCCTTTGGTAAAAAATCATCTTATTGAGGAAGAGTTTGAAAGCATCACCTTTGTGAAGTTTGTAATGAGAAATTTTTGGGGTCGAAATTTGTTTTGTGGAGGGCCATTAAATAATAGATTCCAGCTCTGTTTGCTATTGTGAATATTAGAGTGGTGGTACTGCTGGTGGCCTACCGCTACAAATCACAAGGAGCCTCTTTGTAGTTGCTCCTAATTCATATCAGGAGCACCTTTGATGTCTGGGAAATTTTTGATATCTCTGATTTGCTTGAGCTGCTTTATATACTATCCTTAAGAATGGAAATTGTTCACCATTTGTTTTAAAATTTTAAACAAATACGCCTGAGATAATTGTGGAAGTATATTAGAATTTATATGTTTAATAACCTTGACGTGTTATTAGTTAGATTAGTTATCAATTATTATTAAATTGGAATTATTTGTTTTTATTTTTTAGTTATTGGAGTTATGGAATCTAGTGCATTTAATTGCAGTAACCATCTTTTCTCCACTCTACTGCCAATAAATTTGATTTTCTGCTTTTACAGGAGTTCTTTATGCTATATGCTATATGTTATATGTTTCCTTGTCTACAATTTGCTCCTCTCTACTTGCAGACAGCAAGAGGCAAGATTTTCAAATCAATTCTAGGTTTTATTATTTGTTTATTTTATTTTTATATCATATTTTTCCAGTAGCGGACCCAAATGGACACTGAGGGAACATTTTATTTGAAAAAGAAGAAGAAGTAACTAATAACTTATTAATATTTGTATTCTCTTTTTAGTGTACTTATGTGCATGCCAAATCCCAGTATTATTTCTTTGATGTATGGCTAGAGTTTGGAAAGTTGATGCTTACTGCCATGTGGCTTGAATCCTGTAGAAGTTTTTCTCTTCCATCCTCCTTTCCGCCATCTCCTTTTATATTCACGAAATCTATCTAAATTCTTCTTTTATATTCTTTCTGCAGTTCTTTGGATCCCCAATTGCAAGGTGAACTCAAGCAATATCTAGTAGGCAAGGGAATTGGGGACAACCTTACCAACTTTGTTCTCCTCCATCTACATAAGAAGGAGCAAGGTCAGTACGTGAACTGGTTGCAAAAATTGGAAGCTATGGTGGCACAAAGTGAGTGATCTATACTATTGGTGGGAGCAGGTTTAACTGATGCATGCTTCCTTCTCGGCTCAACACACTAACTTCTTGCAGGGAAGAATTTGTATATGACCATGGGATGAGGTTATAGGATAATTTAATGGCAAAACTTGCATGACCCGTGTCACTATTTTTTATTTTCTTTCTCCAATAGCATTTTGATTGACTTGAAAATTTACCAACTCTATTTATGAAATGCTAAAGTTAGGTGCCTTAAATCCCTCTTTTGTTGGATGGGATATGTTTTATTTATTTTTATTTTTTTGTAACATCCACCTTTGGTCATAGGTGTTATGCCAGAGGTTGGGGTGCGGTTCCCTCCTATCTTCAAATGTGGGTGTTCAATTATGATCCAGAGAAAATTAGCGAGCACTTAACAGTTAGTGCCAGAAGAATTTGTTAAAACAATGTTCTAAAATGTTTAACAAATCAATGGTGTATAGAATATAGATAATGTTCTGAATATGTTTGAGATAATGTGGTTTCTGAGATTAAAAATAGCGATCCTCATAGTTAATCCCTGCATCGATCAAAACAGATTAAAAAGAACGTCTGGAAACCCTCTGTTCGTGCTGTTCTCCACCGGAGACGATTCAATCAGACGGCAGCCATCAAATGGTCATATTATGATACGAGTCTCATGTGGATTTTGGATTTGCTCTAGTTAGTATGGAGGAGGATTTCCCCCTTTCTTCAAAGTTTCTTCGATCATTGATTTAATCTTAACAATATTACACACGTGACTTTCAAATTGCCAATTTTGCAGAAAACATCTCTGGGACTAATGCAGCAAAAACCAATCTGGTGTGGGTTCCCTCGCCTCATGGTGTGTGTGTACAAACTGGATTCTAGGGCTAGTGATGCAAGATTTTGAGGACTCTTCTCTAGTGAGTGGATGACAGTCCTTATGCATTTCTTGGTTCACCATTTATAAAAAAGTTTTACGCACCAAAATGGTTTTAACATAGTAATAAAGGTTCACCATTTCCCACAAAAAAAAAAAAAAAAAAGAAAAAAAAGAAAAAAAAAAACGAAAAAGGTTGTACCTACCTGGCTACCAAACAACCTAAGTGTCACAATCTTATTTCAAGAGCGCGATTGCTTGTTTATATAATTTTTGCCCATAGAAAGTCTTCCTTTTCCTATTCGTTATTGTGATGATCAGTTAGAATAAAGTAAAGGTTTTGGGATTTTGATTCCGTAAAAGCTTAGCACTTCAACTTTGTGCTTATGCAGACAGAACTGGTCATGTGCAGTGCAGTGCAGGCCAAAATAAATAAACAAATAAGTTATTTTATCAAAAAAAAAGAAGAAGTTACTTTGCAATTTTAAAGTAATTTAAATAAAAAATATTTTGCTTTTATAGAAAAGTAGTTAGTACTTTGCAATCGTAAACTTAGTTAAATAAAAAAACATTTTTCATCTATTTTTTTAAAAAGCTAATTTATTACTTATGCTCTGTCCCGTACATCATTCACTATTCTTTATTATATGAGAGAACATTATTATTATTATTATTTGCATCATATATTGTATATTCTCTCCGTATATTGTAAGGTTCGATATCTATACTTCTTATAAAAGTGCATAGAATTTTTAATATTTATTTACACCTTAATACCTTTTAACCTAATAAATAAAATAAATCATTTTTAAACTAATACAAAAATACTAAATTGCAAACACCTCTTCTAAAAGTCCTACATTTTTTTTGAATTATTATTTATATAAATTTTAATATTATTTTATAAAGTATAGAATAATATATGTATGTGGTAGTTGGAGTTTCATTAGTCAAATTGGTAGAATCTAATTCTTAAGTACGCTCATTTGTTCTGTATTGAATTCGAATGAAAAAGTAGTTAGGTATAGATTGATAGGTATGTAACGTTATCTAACCACATAAGTTTTAAAATGGATGAATAAGCACTCATTGGTTGATGGGAGTTTTTTATTTAGGATGGAGAGAGTACTTTTTACTTTTTGACACACAAAAGAATATATTATGCCGTATAAACCAACATTATAGGAAAACAAGTGGAGGTAAATTATTATTTATTAGTATTAATTTTTATGATGTGCTGGTTTGGAAGCCAGTAACTTGTCACGCCCCGCCTATGGAGATTGTGCCACGCAGGCGACACGCAGAAGCTGAGGAGGATGCTGCATGGCAACTGCATGACAAGTGGAGTTTCTAGAGTCTTTCGGAGTAGTCTAGAGTTGTGTGGAAGATTCTAGATATGTGTAGAAATATGTAGAAGTGTGTGGAAGGTTCTAGAGTTCTCCAGAGTTGTGTGGAGTAGTATGGAGAGTTCTAGAATGTTGTAGATATTTATGGATAAGTATGGAAGTGTGAAGAAGGTGGGAGAAGATTCTAGAGAATCGATCTCCACCATCGGTTAAAATGCATCCTAGCCGTCCATTGGGGATGGGGATGCCTATAAATAGAGGTAGGACTTCATTTTGTGGACAACAAGTCATAGAGTGAGTCTTGAGAGCCTTGTAAAGAGCTTGAGTGTTAGCCTTGTACAAAGCATTCTTTGAAGTAATAGAAGTGTTATTTCCTTGCCAACTTAAGTGCCTTGGTGTGTGTGAGTGTGCAAGCCAAGTGAGGAGAGGGCGAGGGCAACTACAACACTAGTAAGCGCACGAGGGGAGTGTGTTGGCTAAGGTGTGCACGGGAGTTAGGCTGACCAAGTACTTGCGAGAGAGAAAGCAACGTCTTGGTGCCGCACGGGAGCAGCTAGAGTGGTGCTGAAACTCTAAGCCCGTGACAGTTGGTATCAGAGCCAGGTTCGTCAAGGGAGCTTTGTTGGAGTAGACATGGCTAGCGGAGGAGACCACCAAGTCCACATCTTAGAGCAGAGCTTGGAGGAGAAGCTTGCCACACACTTGGTCTACACGGAGACCAAGTTTAACAGGCTCGAGAGAAAGATGGCGGAACTCTACGAGCTGATTGACGGCATTGCCAACAAGGCGCGAGAGAAGGAAAGGGACTTGTATGATCAGGTAGACGACTTGCGCATGGAGATTGCCGAGTGTAAGAAGGAGTTCTCCCAGGCGCGCGAGGTCGTGGTGAAGCCAAGGAAGAAGAAGGCGCCGGAGCCCAAGGAGTACGATGGGGCAAGGAATGCGCGCCAGATTGACAACTTCTTCTGGCACATGGAGCGGTACTTCGAGTGCATGGAGATCGAGGATGATGAGGAGAAGGTGCAGACAGGTACTATGTACCTCACGGACACTGCCGCTCTATGGTGGAGGCAGCGCTTCACCGGTAGGGGCGCAAGAGCAGTTGATACATGGGAGGAGTTCAAAAGGCAGCTCAAGAGGCAGTTCTACCCTGAGTGCGTTGAGGACCTCGCCATGATCAACCTAAGGCGCCTGAAGCAGAAGGGCAGCATAAGGGAGTATGTGAAGGAGTACTCCAACTTGATGCTGGAGATCCCAGAGATGCCGGAGCGGCAACGTGTG